AGTGCACACACATGAACAGAGAATATCGACAGCTATTCCCACTACGGCTAATTCACAAGCCACTCTGTCAGTTTAATTCACAGCCTCATCAATAAAGGTGCAAGAGCTAGTGTGTGTGTTTGTGTGTGTGTGTGAGAGGACATGTGACAATGACTGAAGAGGAGCTCATGCTCATCACAAATCTTAAATCTTGTTACCTTTGTGTGTGAGAAAAATAGTGTGTCCAGTGTTCGGAAGAGAGTAAAGTTAATTTAATTGGGTCATAAATAATGAATATTAACTAATAACAAAGGATTCCAGATTCCAACATGCTCTATGCGCACAAACACATAAATCAAAAATATTCTCCAATGCAATAGTAAGTGTGCAACATGGATTCACAACTGAAAACATAGGAGCATGCAGTCTTATTTTAAAATGGGACTAAATAGAAATTTCACAGGGATGCTTTTGTAATATTCTTTGAATGACGCACATTCGCAAGATTAAAGAAAGTAATCAGCAGTCTGTTAGCATCAGCTCATCTCGGCTGAGTGGCCCTCATTTGCATATCTAACAATTACAGAGGATAGTCCCTGAAAAACTGATAACCCGCATCTTTGATTTTTGGGTCACAATACGTTCTCTGCCTGCGAGGCTTGTGATATTTATCACTGAAAGATTTACCTGGAAACTCTTTCAGAGCACCTCCGGAGGAATTCTGTGTAATTACTTGCGCGCGCGCGCACACACACACCATGCAGAACGCTTTGAGAAAAGGTCACTTCTGATTTGCAATTATAGTTTCGACATCTGAGCAACCCTCCGATGCTTTTTCAAATCTTCAAACAGGACAGTGGTGTTCAAAGGCAAGACATGTACATATATGCAGCTTTATCATTCACAATTATATTTAATATAAATTAAAATCTTATGTAAAGTAGGGCTGTTAAAATTTTTTTCGAATTTCGAATATTCGTCTAATTTAGGGTGACCATATGTCCTCTTTTCCCCAGACATGTCCTCTTTTTGAAACCCACTAGATGCGGCGCTGCTACGTTGTTCATTCAAAATATTGCAGAAAAAGAGAACAATCAATGCGGGGAAGATGTTGTTTACGTCAAACCCGAAACCAAGCCGTTCACACAGAACGCATATTTATCGCATTTTCTAGAAGGACATTTATCACCGTTGCACTCACGTCTCGCACAAGAGCCGCATGTTTAGAAAGCTATGTAAAATTAATGTTCAACTTTTAAAAAACATGTCTCAAGACTTATGGCAGTTTTCCCTATCCCACTGCATCTCAAGTTTTTAAATGAAGAAAGTACTCTTTGTGATTGGTTTTCGGTCCTTTGTATTAAACTATACATACATGCATGATCCTGTTTTGTTTCTAATTGTTTAAGCAACTTTATTAATTATATCAAGTTTATAAACGTTATTTTAAACATTATGCACTTTTTTTTTTCAAAGATAGTCGTGTTATTTTATTATGCTTTGAAGAAACATGCATAATATTTTGCTCGATGCGCCCTCTTGTGGCCTCAGGAGAGAAGCCAAAAGCTTTT